GGGGGGGGGGGGCCGGGGCCAGCGTACCGCCTCCTCTGGGCAGACGGTCCACTCCTAAAGCGATTTTGTGGGGTTCCGGGGAGCGGTTGGACTTCTTGGAGGAGTCCAGGGCTCCCGCAGCCCGGGCGTTCCAGGCCCGAGGACGGATCACCTCCCTCTGAGCCCACCCCAACCCCAGGGTTTGAGCTAAACATGGACAGAGGTGCCCCTCCCTCCGATCCTGGCCACGAGTTGTTCAGGGTGTGTATTAGTTTGGCTGGACAATGGGGGCAAAGGATCATGAAGAGGAGGGTATGGCTAACCAGAAATCGGTTTGGGGTGAAGTGAAGCCAGGGCGAGACACCTCTCGTCCCCACCACCCTGGCTGCCCCTCTCTCTCCCCACATTCCCTGGGGCTTTGGAAGTGCTCACCAGAGAAGAGCCAAGAGCTCTCCTCTGGATGAGTCAGGAGGCCCAGAGAGTCCCTGAAAGGTGCCTGCAGACGGGAAGGTCAAATACATGCCACTCCTTGCCAACGGGAAAATCTCCAAGGTCAGAGACCCAGGAGTGAGCGAGGCATCTGCGGGGTGCAGCCTAGCACAGTACGTTGAAGGGGCCAGCTGCCAACTGTTCCCCGGGCGTGGAAGTTAAACTGACATCACCGAGGCTGCCGTGTCTGCCAAAATGCACAACCGGTAGCAGTTCTAATTGGCCTTGCTGAGGCGCCCCCCCCCCCCCCCCCCCCCCCCCCCCCCACCGCCCCGCCCCGGGCAGCGGACAGCCACCGCTCCACGGTTTCCGGGTGCTGGGTCGAACACAACGTGAACGTGACCCTCGCAGTCTGTCGTTCGCCCTTTTTGAAGTTCGCCCAGGTGAAGTCTGGGCTGGAAAGAGATCACCGCCTGAGCTGAAGTTGGACTGAGCCACCCAGGTGCCCCATAAGCCTTCATAATTGGAAAGTGGGGGCAGGCTCCGTCCTGTGCCCGGGGCCCAAGGCCTGTCTGCCAGTCTGACCACTATTCCTCTTGAACTACCCGCTCATATTAACTCCCATCCCAGTCCTCCCAGGCTGTTCCCCAACACCGAGGAGCTGTCCTAGAGAAAATGAGCACATGGGGAAGTGGATCTAGGAGGTGGGTTGAGCTGGGCAGGCCTTCCCGCACCCTGCCCAGGTCTGGCCTGGACGGCCAAACCCTTGGGTGGCCAGGACGACCCTGCAGGCGCTGTTGGGCCAGGTCACTCCTCTGTCCCTCTCCCTCTGCTCAGCAGGCCTAGCAGGATCCTGGCCCCAAGCCGGGGAAGCTCACACTGTGATGTGAGGATTTATGAGCAATAATAAACAAAAATGAGCAAAATATAAACAGAGGGGGGCCCTGGGTGCCGACCCCTGGAGTTTACAGACACGAACATAGGGCTGAAGGCCAGCAGCCTCTCGTGGGTGTGCAAGGTGCACGCTCCCGCCAGTGCTCTCTGCCAAATCTGGGGGCAGTTCAATCTTCCTAAGGTCAAATGACACTGCCAGCCTGGGGGGCGAGTCCCTGGTGCGTGCACGGCAGCAGCAGGCCCTGTTGGGCCCCCTCACAGGCAGCACGTCCCCTCTGCTTGGTTTCCTGAGGTGGGGGTGGCTCCCCTCAGATCCAGCAAGTGCAGCATTCTGAGGCGCACCAAGGGCCGGGTATGGCAGTGACCCCAACTCGGAGGCCGTGGTTGGGAGTGTGAACCGCACGCTGCTTGGAGCAGCCAGGCCCAGAGGCACCTAGGGCCCCCCGACGTCAGCAGGTGCCGTTTTCTATATACTTGTCCAGGGTTTTCTATATACTTGTCCAGGGTTGAGTCACGTGGCCCAAGGACTGGGTGGTGCAGAAAGGTGTGTGTGTGAAGGCGGGCACCTGAACCCCAAGAGGGAGTGCCTCCTGGCCGCCGTCATGCGACAATTCAGGACAGGCAGCCTGTCACCTCCCGGCTTGACACCCCTACACCTGTGCAGTGGAGGGGCTTCCAGACTGCGTCCTTCACCTGCTGCCTGACACCAGCACCTGTCCCCAGACAGAGAGACCTGGGAGCAGCCACGTGGCTGACAGGCAGGGAAGCGCCCGAGGGAGGCCACGCTCTCCTCTTCCACCGGATGACACACCACAAGTCAGTGCCGGGGAGCCCGGGCAGGGGAGAGGGCTCCATACGAGGTCAGTGACGTGCAGAGAAAAGTGAAGTCACGCAACAGGAAGCAGACTCCGACACAACCTGCAGACAGAAGCTCGACGCGCAGGGAGAGGCCTCGGGGCCCGGGATGACAAATGGGGAGCCCAAGAGTCGCTTCAGGCGTTTTATTAGTTTCCCGGCAGGGCCGGAGTCCAGGTAACGCTAACGCAAACCCAACTGACGCCCACCTGTAAGCCCCAAGCGGAGCTGGAGCGTGAGCACCAGGAGCGGACCAGTCAGAGGAGGCCGGGGCGGCCAGCTGTGTGCACCTGGGCGGGGGAGCACGCGGTCACCCCTCGCCTGGTGACGAGAGAGGGTGTGTGCGCACAAGGGCAAGGAGGATGCAGGCGGGGCCGGGGGACCCTCCCCTGGGCAAGAGGAGGTGGCTGCACTGCCCACGGCCAAGGCCTCTGGCAGGCCCCCCCCCCCCCC